CAGAGATGTTCGATCGGGTTCCAGTCTGGGCTCTGGCTGGACCACTCAAGGACATTCAGAGACTTGTCCCGAAGCCACTCCTGCGTTGTCTTGGCTGTGTGCTTAGGGTTGTTGTCCTGTTGGAAGGTGAACCTTCGCTCCAGTCTGAGGTCCTGAGTGCTCTGGGGCGGGTTTTAATCAAGGGTCTCTCTGTACTTTGCTTCGTTCATCCCCACAGCATGATGCTGCCACCACCACGCTTCACTGTAGGGATGGTGCCAGGTTTCCTCCAGACGTGACACTTGGCATTCAGTCCAAAGAGTTCAATCTTGCTTTCATCAGACCAGATAATTTTGTTTGTCATGGCCTGAGAGTCCTTTAGGTGCCTTTTGGCAAACTCCAAGCGGACTGTCATGTGCCTTTTACTGTGGAGTGGCTCCCGTCTGGCCACTATACCATAAAGGCCTGATTGGTGGAGTGCTGCAGTGATGGTTGTCCTTCTGGAAGGTTCTCCCATCTCCACAGAGGAACTCTGGAGCTCTGTCAGAGTGACCATTGGGTTCTTGGTCACCTCCCTGACCAAGGCCCTTCTCCCCCGATTGCTCAGTTTGACCGGGCGGCCAGCTCTAGGAAGAGTCTTGGTGGTTCCAAACTTCTTCCATTTAAGAATGATGGAGGCCACTGTGTTCTTGGGGACCTTCAATGCTGCAGAGATTTTTTGATAACCTTCCCCAGATCTGTGCCTCGACACAATCCTGTTTCAGAGCTCTACGGACAATTCCTTCAACCTGCTTGGTTTTTGCTCTGACAAGCACTTTCAACTGTAGCACCTTATATAGACAGGTGTGTGCCTTTCCATATCATGTCCAATCAATCAATTGAATTTACCACAGGTGGACTCCAAGTTGTAGAAACATCTCAAGGATGATCAATGGAAACAGGATGCACCTGAGCTCAATTTCGAGTCTCATAGCAAAGGGTCTGAATACTTATGTGAATAAGGTATTTAAAATAAAATAAAAAAATTATAACTGTGCAAACATTTCTAAAACTGTTTTTTCTTTGTCATTATGGGGTATTGTAGGTAGATTGAGGGAAAAATGAATTTAATAAATTTTAGAATAAGGCTGTACGTAACAACAAAATGTGGAAAAAGGGAAGGGGTCTGGATACTTTCCGAATGCGCTGTATTGTCGTATTTTGAAGGAAATTAGAAGCAGAACACGCCATTCTATGTGCACCAAAAATACAATCTGTCTGAAGTGCCTTTTGTATGTAAAACCAAGTGTTATAACTTAGCTAGCCATGTGGCGATAGGATATGCTTTCAAATGATGCCCACCTTACCCAGATTGCGTTTTATAATGGAATTATTTGGGATTGCGTAAACAACAGTATTTGTGTGATGGCGGGGATGCAAGGCTGTGTTCCAAACAAAAAACTACAAGTGTGCTTTATTCAGTTGCTCAATGGGTATGCTAGGAGGGCTCAAAAAAGTACCTTATAGTTGAATTCTCTTTCCTTGAGTCATAAAAGTTAATTGAAATTATTTAGGAACTGTACACAGTTTGGAGAGGTGTGCGTGGCCACTTGGAGACACCAGTTAGACCTCTCACTGAAACCATTGTAATAATTTTTTTCTTATCTTGAACCTACTCCAAAAATGTTATTATTATTATTATTATTATTATGGTACTCAAAGTATCCAGAGTATTTTCTGATTTAGTTATTGACAAATAACAGTAAATGTAAAATGCACATAAAATCAAGTGTAATGTTTGGATTTAGTCTTGTCAGGTGAACTGTTGTGTCCTCATCTTTGGTCTGATAATTTCCCCATAATCTTCAAAGGGTTTTCTTTCAAATGCTACCATGGTATGCGTATGCTTATGCTTTTTTATATTTCTTCTGTTAGAAACATTTTAATTTGGCCCTATCCATATAGGCCAATTTCATGAGTGTAAGGAGTTAAGATATTGCTGTTGGCGAATACATTATTGAAGGGACTGGTTATTGGCTTGCAACATACATAGAATACTTATTGTAGAAACAGAAGATGAACCGTTTAGGGATGGGCATTTTGAATAATTTCACTATTCGCATAATATCAGGATTTTTATCCGGATAGTCGAAATACAGAGACGCAGACGATTCCGGAGGGTGGGTGTGAGTGTGAGTGTGTGCGAGTGAATGTGTGAGTGAGTGAGAAGAAAGTAGCCATGCTTGCTCGCACTAGTTAGACAAACCTGTAAATCTAGCTGCTGATAGTGATAGTTCCTGTCTTGACTGCATCAGATAGATCTAGAGAAGATTTCAAAGCTAGCTAGCTAAGCCAGCCAGCCCGCTAGCTAATTGAGGCTACAATATGCTGCGCTCCCCGTCCTTGTTAACAAATAACAACACTATGATTCAGATTAATCAACAGCCTACCTGTTTGTTGTAGCCCGCTCCTTCTCATTTGCGGACCAAAGCGCTGTTATAGATCAGTTTACAGTATATAATCAGATCCGTTTTAGTTTCTTCAAAATCAAAGGGTAACAAGGGGTAGGCCTGTGCTTTTTGCCATTTTCTTTAATGAAAGGTAGGCCTATGGCATACCCTCTCATATCCCCTCAATTTGAGTCTTTGCTATAACTTAACAGCTCTTCACTGACTCAGAGGTTGGCTATTTAAAGAATGCATGGTGGTTGGAGGAATTGACAAATCTATGGATATATCAGCCTATAGCCTAATTTAATCTGTCAAACAGGTAGTCCTACATGTTATTTCTTTGGAAGAAATAGACTCCAACACAAAGTCCTCTTGTTAGTAAAGTCAAATTAGAATGAAGAGTGTTGATTGTGTGGCTGCTGCTACTTCAACTTGCAGCACCACCATGAAAGTTACTCGAATCTGGCTTATTGTGAGGTCAATAACTGGACCATTCCTACTTACAAAACATCTCCAGTTCAGTTAGGTTTGATGGTTGCCGAGCATCGACAGCCCGCTTCAAATCATCCCACAGATTCTCAATGATATTCAGGTCTGTGGACTGGGATGGCCATTCCAGAACATTGTACTTGTTCCTCTGCATAAATGCCCGGGTAGATTTTGAGCAGTGTTTTGGGTCGTTGTCTTGTTGAAATATCCAGCCCCGGCGTAACTTCAACTTTGTGACTGATTCTTCAACATTATCCCCAATAATCTGCTGATATTGAGTGGAATCCATGCGACCCTCAACTTTAACAAGATTCACAGTACCGGCACTGGCCACACAGCCCCACAGCATGATGGAACCCCCACCAAATTTTACTGTGGGTAGCAAGTGTTTTTCTTGGAACGCTGTGTTCTTTTGCCGCCATGCATAACGCCCCTTGTTATGACCAAATAACTCAATCTTTGTTTCATCAGTCCACAGCACCTTATTCCAAAATGAAGCTGGCTTGTCCAAATGTGCGTTTGCATACCTCAAGCGACTCTGTTTGTGGTGTGTGTGCAGAAAAGGCTTCTTCCGCATCACTCTCCCGTACAGCTTCTCCTTGTGCAAAGTGCGCAGAATTGTTGAACGATGCACAGTGACACCATCTGCAGCAAGATGATGTTGTAGGTCTTTGGAGGTGGTCTGTGGGCTGTTTTTGACCGTTCTCACCATCCTTCGCCTTTGCCTCTCCGATATTTTACTTGGCCTGCCACTTCTGGCCTTAACAAGAACTGTGCCTGTGGTCTTCCATTTCCTCACTATGTTCCTCACAGTGGACACTGACAGCTTACATCTCTGCAATAGCTTTTTGTAGCCTTCCCCTAAACCATAATGTTGAACAATCTTTGTTTTCAGGTCATTTGAGAGTTGTTTTGAGGCCCCCATGTTGCCACTCTTCAGAGGAGAGTCAAAGAGAACAACAACTTGCAATTGGCCACCTTAAATACCTTTTCTCATGATTGGATGCACTTGTCTATGAAGTTCAAGGCTTAATGAGCTCACCAAACCAATTGTGTGTTCCAATTAATCAGTGATAAGTAGTTACAGGTATTCAAATCAATAGAATTACAAGGATGCCCACATTTTTGCATAGCCTATTTTTCACATCTGATTTAATTTCATACAACATAATATTGCTACACTAAAAATATTTGTCTGGACAATACCCCAGTACTCATCTTTTATTAGAAAATGAATGGCATGCCACTGTGATCATTTTCTGTGACAAGTGTATGTAATATAACCATATGCAATTTCAGGAGCACATGTCTTAGACTGATGGACTGTGCCATCCCCACTGCCTCCACAATGGATCAGTTGACTCAGACAGGTGTCTTGTACACCATGATACTTTTGTTATTTTTTAAATTATTTTTGCTTCTGCTCGGCTAAAGAAATCTCTGACCAACAGCCTATCGAGCAGTCGACTAAATGGGGTCAGCCCTACTACTGGCCTATAGCCCTATGAAAACAGCCTTGAGTTACTTGGCTTGTGAGTTGAGTTTTAAAAACAGCAGACTGTATTTATTGACAAACAAGAAACACAAAAAATGAATGCATCCAATATGTTTGTTTATATTTTACTGTAAGATCATTATACCACAATTTTAAGACATCATCTCCAAACCACATGATATTAAATTACTTGGAGGAATTTCATTGCGTAGTGTAAAATGTGCTTCTGGGCAGTTTTCTACAAATGCTGTCCTCACTGCTTTCACTGTGTACTCTCTCTCTCCACATTATCTTGTATGTACAAATGCACATAGTTTTAATAATCATACCTGAATTATGACGATGACTTGACTTTTTTTTTTTTTTTTTTCTCTCCATCTTATTTGTAGGTTCCTCTCTGGCTCCCTAAAAGGAACACGCATATATATATATATATATATATACACACACACACTGTGACGTGAGAACCCAACGCATGGTCATGTTCCCCCATGCTCCCCTCCCTATGGCTTATCTATAATCAGGACCCCAACTGAACCACAACCCGACCGCCGTACTCCTCGGCCGGCTACCACAACCACCACTCCCCCCCACACTCTACTCCAACCATGGCCAGTAAGAGGAAGTCCACCACCCCCTGTATGATCCCCAATAAGACCATGCACCTCCGTGAGGAGCTGGAGCAGGACGCATACCTGTCAGACCCTCCTTCCCTCAGACAGGCCCAGGCCCGGGACCAAGGCTACCCAATGGGGGGTAACAGGCAGAGCCCCCTGGAGCGATCCCCAGGTGAGTCCTCCAGGCCTGAGGGGGGCGGCATTGTCAAAGACTGGGGCGGCACCTACATGTGCAGGCATTGTAACTTTGAGACCCAGGACCTCAACCTGTTCCTGGACCACGTCTACAGTGGCCACCCGGACTTCAGAGCTGACCCCAGCTTCCAGTGCGTGGACTGTGGGGTGTCAGCAGCCAAGTTCGAGGGCCTGGCCCTGCACAACGCCCGGGTCCATCTCAGCACGGTGAGCACCACCCTGCAGCTGAGGAAGAGGGACATGAGGTTAGTGGTGGAGCAGAGTCTGGTCACAGGGACAGAGACAGCGAGGGACACAGAGATCTCCATCACCAAGACCCCCATCATGAGGATGCTGAAGGGCAAGTCCGAGTCCAAGAGGATTGTGGTGTCCCATTCCTCCCATGATGAACCCTCCTCAGACCCCCCACCCCTCTTCATCTCTACCTCCAAAGATACAGAGAGAAAAGAGACCCCCACAGTGACGGTTACCCACGTCCCTACCATAATGCACAATGGGACAGCCACCAAGGTCACCCTGCCCTCAGCGATCCAGATAGTGAACGGCTCGGGTGCTCTGCCCATGCTCAAGACCGCCATCACACAGGTACTTAGTACATATATTTTTGCTGCGTTTTGGGAATTGGTAAGTTAATTACTACAAATGAGAATTATTTAACTTATTTGGTTCAATGTTTTATTTAATTACTGTACAACTTTCCTCAGGGAGTTGAATGCAGTTCATGTCACTGATTGTGAAGACATGCTTGTGGACAATATATTTTTTTGAATCTTCTCTGAACCAGGTTGTGTCAGTGATCCAGAACAGGAACTTTCACCATCAGACAGCTCCCATCACCGTCTCCTCAGCTCTCTCCTCCACCACCTCCTACTCCACCTCCTCAAAGAACATGCCCAAGGTACAATTCCCCCTTTGACCAAATTGTGTCGGTCCCACTTTATATGAAGACGTTATAGGCAGTGTAGGTACACATTATTACATGGTACTAACATGTGTATTTACATGTACCATATAAATACATGGGTTTTAGTGTCTTTTGAGCTGTCAGTGTGTAAATCTTCTCCTGCTTTATAGGAAATAGTTCCATGAAGTAGTATAAATTCTATGTAATTACGATGTTGGTACTACATAAAATATAATGTTTCTACCTTCTGTGGTCCAGGTGATGATCCCTCTGAGCAGTATCCCAACCTACAGCGCCTCCATGGACTCGTCCTCCTTCCTCAAGACGTCCTTCAGTAAGTTCCCCTACCCCACCAAGGCAGAGCTCTGCTACCTCACCGTGGTCACCAAGTTCCCAGAGGAGCAGATCAAAATCTGGTTCACCGCCCAGAGACTCAAGCAGGGCATCAGCTGGTCTCCAGAAGAGATTGAGGAGGCCAGGAGGAAGATGTTCAACACCATCATACAGACTGCGCCACCTAGCACCCAGCACCATACACTACACCGAGGCCAGACCCAGGCCCAGCATACCATCACGGTCCTACCTGCCTCTCTGGGGTCTACAGGGATCCCTCACATCCTCCAGGGCTCTCTGGTGGGCCAGGGAGGGGTGATCGTCACCCAGCCCATGATGGCCAATGGCATCCAGGTCAGCAATGCCCCCATGGCTCTGGCGGTCACACCCAAGCATCAGGCTGCGGCCCGGCCTATGGTGCAGGCCAGGCCTGCGGCCGCCCTGGTGGCGGATAAGGGGATCAGCATGGTGGGGACGGTGGGGAGCAGTAGTAGTGGAAGCAACATCAGTAGTAGTAATGGTGGAGAGAGTACTAGTAGTATCAGCAGTGGTAGTAGTAGTTTCAGTAGTCATGCTAGTGTTATTAACTTTAGCCTTGGCAACAACCAAGGGAACAGCATTCATAGCAATACCAATGGCAAAGCCATCAACACCAATGGCAAAGCCATCAATGGCAATGGAAAAATATATCATGCTATTGCTAATCTCAATGGGAAAAGCAACAGCAATGCTATCAGCATGGTTAAAAGCATCAACACTGACAGTAGGCGCAATGACGGCAGCAAAAGCCACAGCAGTACTATTGCTAAAATTATCAGTGAGAGTAGCGTCATCTCTGATATCAAAAGCACCATTGACAACAAACCCAACAGCAGCAATGATACTAACAGCAGCAGCAGCTTGAGCAACAAGAAAACAATCACCACCCCGACCTGTGGTCCCACAGCTACTCCTCCCCCTACAGCCTCCACAAACACCACCAGTAACCCCACCACCACCAAAACAGAGGCGGCTTCTTCCCCCTCCACCAAACATTTTTCCTCGTCTTCCCCGGCGCCGAGCGGGAGCACGGACGCCAGCGGAACCCCAATCTCCCGAACGCTCCCCAACACCTTCCTGGACCCTAGCTTCTACAAGAGCAAGAAGTCTGTGGAGCAATTGTGTGCGCTCAAAGAGAGCTTCACTAACAACCAGTTCCCCAACCAGGAGGAGGTGGACCGCCTCATCTCCATCACCGGCCTGACCGTGCGCGAGGTCCGCAAGTGGTTCAGTGACCGCCGCTACCACTTCCGCAACCTCAAGGGGGGGCGTTCAAGTACGGGCAGTCAGGGTGGTGCTAGCACTCCAACCACACCCGGGTTGGCTAGTGCAACCACCCGATCTGGGACCCCCAGTGGTACCCCCATGGACCTGTCGGACACTGCCACTCCCAATGAACCCCCCCCAAAAAAACAGCAGGGGTCGGCAGCCCTCAGCGCCCCTCCCTCACAGATGCCCACCTCCCCTACCACCCTGTCCAGACGGCCCCCCAGACCCCCCTCCCCAGACTTCACAGCCATCCGCTACAAAGAGAGGGACCCTCAGCAGGTGAGTGGTGGTGCGACTGTGATGACTTAGTTATGACTTGGTTTATTTACACATAGCTTAGTTTTCCATAAGATTACAAAAATGTAATATCGGTGAAGTATCCCTTTTAATGTGTATTTACTGCCAATCAAATTTCTCACTGGGACATGAGAAACCTACGCTCGTCTACCCTACCCTAATCTCCTCTCTACCCTACCAGGTGAGGGCGCTGGAGGCCAGCTTCAGCCAGGACCCTGACCCCTCCGGAGAGGAGGTGGACCGCCTCCGGTCTGAAACCAAGATGACCCGCAGAGAGATCCACGGCTGGTTTGCTGAACGCAGGAAGAGAGTCGCTGCTGAGAAGAAGAAAGAGGAGTTAGAGAGGGAGGAAGAGGAGGAGATGGATGCAGGGGGACGGGAGGTGGGAGGGAAGAGTAAGGATGATGCCGGGGTGAAGAAAGAGGAGGATGCGGAGGAGAGGCAGAAGGAGGATGGTTCAGGCTCAGAGCTGAAGGTGAACCCCATTAAGATCAACCTGAAGATGCTCAAAGTGACTGAGTCCAATGGCAAACTGGAGACTGAGGGAGGCCAGGCAAACAGCCCTACGATGCCTACCCTATTTCCCCCAGCCCCAACCCTCACCCCTGCACCATCCACAATTCCATCTCTGACCCCAAAGCCATCCCCATCACCCAAACCCTCCCCTATCCGGGGCAAGAAGACATTAGAGCAGCTCCACCTCCTGAAGCAGGTGTTTGCCCGGACCCAGTGGCCCAGTGCGGTACAGTATGACGAGCTGATCTCTTCCACGGGGCTTCCCAGGCCTGAGGTGGTGCGCTGGTTCGGTGACTGTCGCTATGTGCAGAAGAACAGCCAGCTAAAGTGGCTAGAGGCCTACCAGACCATGGTCCTGGAGGAGGACTTCCAGAGGGGAGACACTCAGATGCTGAAGGCCCATCTGGAGGCCCATGGAAGTCTGGAGGAGGAACAGGTACGATTCTCCCATTATCTCAAGATCAAGAGTTTTTCTATGGTTCTGTGGTTGTGGATTTTTTGGAACCCGACTTGCCGTGGCTAATGATACGGACATTTCTGTGCATGTGCAGGATTGTTTTTTACATAACTGCTTCCCATTCTGCTGCCAACGTAGCTTCTGCTCAGTGCTCCGCTGCCGCTTCCCCCTCCTTGACATGAAGGGGAACCTTCATGTTGTACACTAAATAATACTTTTTAACGTCTATGCTAAGGACATGGTCGACATGTTCGAACTATGCATTCCATGCCTCAAGCGCAATGTCATGTTCTTTTTTTTTCAGAAGGGGTGCAAGGCTACATGCAGCTATCATGTTGTCCACCAGCTAGGTAGTGTACTCGTGCGGTACTTGCATGATTATTGAGAAGCGAAATAGCAATTAGTAGGGCAGCGTTTCCCAAACTCGGTCCTCGCGACCCCAAGGGGTGCACGTTTTGGTTTTTGCCCTAACACTACACGGCTGATTCAAATTATCAAAGCTTGATGATTAGTTGATTATTTGAATCAGCTGTGTAATGCTAGGGCAAAAACCAAAATGTGCACCCCTTGAGGTTCTGAGGACCGAGTTTGGGAAACACTGTAGTAAGGCCTGTGTGTGGTTAAATCAGTTTTTTGCCCCAATACAAAACACAAGTGGGGAGTTACATGCAGCTATCTAGGCAGCATATCAAACACAAGCAAGATTTAGACACGCAGTCTAATTAGCGATTTAATGTAATTTCTTAATCATCATTGCAAGCATTGGCTAAGTAGGAGGTAGACATGCAGTCAAAGTAGTAGTGTTCTTTTTTCAGGAACTCTGGCCAGTGTCTACCATATGGCAGCAAGTATAAAGATTAGCCTACATCATCAAACGCTGATTGTTTTTGCTCCATCAGAATTAGTATTTCCCCACACAAGGCTTTATTACAGAGAGAAATAATCCTCAGCACCCCACCCCCAGATGATCCCGCAGGTGAAGAAGCTGGATGTGGAGGTCCTGTGCTGGCGTTTATGGTAGAGAAATGAACATTATATTCTCTGGCAACAGCTCTGGTGGACATTGCTGCAGTCAGCATGCCAATTGCAATTTCCTTAAAAACATGAGACATCTGTGTTGTGTGACAACTGCACATTTTAGAGTGGCCTTTTATTGTCCCCAGCATAAAGTGCATCTGTGTAATGATCATGCTGTTTAATCAGCTTCTTGATATGCCACAATTGTCAGGTGGATGGATTTTCTTGACGAAGGATGAAATGCTCATTAACAGGGATATAAATACATTTGTGCACAACATTTGAGAGAAATGTGCATATGGAAAATTTCTGGGGTCTTTTATTTCACCTCATGAAACATGGGACCAGCACTTTACATGTGGCATTGATATTTGTGTTCAGTATATATTTTTGGTAATGTTCATTCAAATCGCTGCAGGGTTTTTATTTCGGCTGTTCTGAAATATGAGGCAGAGACATAGGCTATTGCATCTTCATGGTTCAGAAGAGGGTGAGTAAAGACAGAAACCTGAAGGGAGGGGGAGTGTGAGCAGCAGCTACGTAGTGTGCGTAAAATAACACATGCGCGGAACGTGATCTGGATCCTTAGCTCCGTATTTGCAACCACAGCCTTTCTATTAAGCTTCAGATTCTGAGTGTAGAGTTACTACACATGTAAAAACACAAATTACAATCATGCAACTACATGGTATTTGTGCACCCGGATGTAAAGTGTGACTAGCAATTGTCAATATTCTCATGTTGCCTGTGTGTCTATATTTTGAGTAGCAGAATGCCTGTCAATGGTGATATGTAACAGACTGTGTCTGTCCTCTCCAGGTGTTGGAGCTGGCCCAGGCTAGTGGGCTGACAGAAGAGCTGGTAAGACGCTGGTTCTCTACCCAGGCTCCTCTACTGCTGCAGGGGAAGGATAGGGGGGTTGCAGAGGAGGTGGAAGCAGGGGAGACACCCGGGGTGGGGGGAGTAACAGTAACAGCCAGCCCAGCACCCACGGCACCCATGGAGGGAGGAGCGGCAGAGCCGGTCCAAGGAGAGGGGGAGGTGAAAGAGGAGAAGATGGAACAGTCAGTGTGTGGAGGAACTAAAGAGGGGGATGAGGAGAGGAGTGCGGAAAACAAGGCTGTGAATCCTGGAAAAGGTAGTTGTTTTCCTACTAATTTTTATTTGATATGTAGTCTGCAATATTTTCTTGGTATATGTATATTTTGAATCTTGGCACATTAAACTAAGGTTATCATTGACATACACTGAGTTTACAAAACATTAAGAACACCTTTCTAATGTTGAGTTGCACCCCCTTTTGCCCTCAGAACAGCCTCAATTCGCCGGGGCATGGACTACAAGGTGTCGAAAGCGTTCCACAGGGATGCTGGCCCATGTTGACTCCAATGCTACCCACAGTTGTCAAGTTGGCTGGATGTCCTTTGGGTGGTGGACCATTCTTGATACACACGGGAAACTGTTGAGTGTGGAACAACCCAGCATCGTTGCAGTTCTTCACACTCAAACCGGTGTGCCACTCAAAGGCACTTCAAAATTGTTTTTATTGCCCATTCACCCTCTGAATGGCACACATACGCAATCCATGTCTCAATTGTCTCAACGCGTAAAAATCCTTCTTTAACCAGTCTCCTCCCCTTCATCTACACTGATTTGAAGTGGATTTAACAGGTGACATCAATAAGGGACAATAGCTTTCACCTAGTCACAGTCATGGAAAGGTGTTCTTAATGTTTTGTACACTCAGTGTATAAAGTTGCAATACAGTAATTACCCATGTAAGGTTTATTTATTTTTTCATTTTTGTCACAGGAACAGACTGAGGATCTTTGTCTGAGCAGGGAAAAGAGGAGTGAGGGATGGAGAGAGGTGGCCCAAAGGGACAATCAATGCAGGTGGTCTTTGCACAGTGCCTGTTTTTGAGCTCCTGACAGCAGATGTGATTGTAACCGGATCACTGGATATTGACCCTGAACACCCCCCCCCCCCCCCCACCCCCCCCCCCCCCCACCCCCCCCAACTTCCATATTTCTCTCCAACACTCTGCTATGCTGAAGATGGCACTTGAAACCCCCACATCCTCCAATCCGCCATTTTATCCTTCAATCGACAAGTTGCAGTTGAGACTCAAGCGCAGGATTCGCAGAGGAGGGGTTTCGTTTCTCTCTCGCCCTCCTCTCCTCTCTGCTGCCGGCCCTGCTGCAGTTGGAGGGAGAAGTGGATGGATTTGGAGGAGAAAAGTGTAGAGATGTGGTTGGGATTTGGACTCCAGCAGACAGGGAGAGGAGAGGAGGAGGGGGGGGTTAAAATCCTGACTGGACAGATATCGACCAAGCCAATCCTCTAGTGTGAGTATCACTGGTGTGTGAAGAGAGAGAGGAAGGAGAGAGAGACTGACTGTAGGCCTATCCAAGAGGTTTTTGGTACTGGGGTACAAGATGAGAACTGTAAAGACCTTTTTTTTTTTTTAAAGGAAACTTGAGGTCAGAGGTAAACATTAGGAGATGTGTATCCTTGTTTTAGCATCAAGTGCTTCTGTTCTGTACGTATGTATTTCTGTTTTCATTGATCTTTCTTAAACTGTAACAAATCTTGACTGACTAAAATAAGTTCCAACATACTTTTAGATATTATTTGCAGAATAAACAAAATGTAACAAATTGGTTTCCTATTGCACTTATTTTCAAAGTCCAAGATTTCTGTAAAAATAGTCACCATAGGCTATATTTTATTTTAAAAAATACAGCACTGGTGTTAATAATCTATTTTTATTTTTTAATTCACCTTTATTTAACCAGGTAGGCCAGTTGAGAACAAATTCTCATTTACAACTGCGACCTGGCCAAGATAAAGCAAAGCAGTGTGATTTAAAAACAACACAGAGTTACACATGGGATAAACAAAAACATACAGTCAATAACACAATTGAAAATCTATATACATTGTGTGCAAATGTAGTAAATTATGGAGGTAAGGCAATAAATAGGCCATAGTGCAAAATAATTACATTTACATTTTAGTCATTTTGCAGACGCTCTTATCCAGAGCGACTTACAGTTAGCGCATGCATTATTTTATCGAACCCACAACCCTGGCGTTGCAAACGCCATGCTCTACCAACTGAGCTACATCCCCTTTACAATTTCATTACAATTTAGTATTAACACTGGAGTGATAGATGTGCAGAAGATGATGTGCAAATAGAGATACTGGGGTGCAAATGAGAAAAATAAATAACAATATGGGGATGAGGTATTTGGGTGGGCTAATTACAGATGGGCTGTGTACAGGTGCAGTGATCGGTAAGCTGCTCTGACAACTGATGCCTAAAGTTAGTGAGGGAGATAAGAGTCTTCAGCTTCAGAGATGTTTGAAGTTCGTTCCAGTCATTAGCAGCAGAGAATTGGAAGGAGTGGCGGCCAAAGGAGGTGTTGGCTTTGGGGATGACCAGTGAGAGATACCTGCTGGAGCGCATACTACGGGTGGGTGTTGCTATGGTGACCAATGAGCTAAGATAAGGCGGGGATTTGCCTAGCAGTGATTTATAGATGACCTGGAGCCAGTGGGTTTGGCGACGAATATGTAGTGAGGACCAGCCAACAAGAGCGTACAGGTCACAATGGTGGATAGTATATGGGGCTTTGGTGACAAAACGGATGGCACTGTGATAGACTACATCCAATTTGCTGAGTAGAGTGTTGGAGGCTATTTTGTAAATGACATCGCCGAAGTCAAGGATCGGTAGGATAGTCAGTTTTACGAGGGCATGTTTGGCAGCATGAGTGAATGAGGCTTTGTTGTGAAATAGGAAGCCAATTCTAGATTTAATTTTGGATCGGAGATGCTTAATGTGAGTCTGGAAGGAGAGTTTACGGTCTAACCAGACACCTAGGTATTTGTAGTTGTCCACAAATTCTAAGTCCGACCCGCCGAGAGTAGTGATTCTAGTCGGGCGGGCAGGTGCAAGCAGCGTTCGATTGAAGAGCATGCATTTAGTTTTACTAGTGTTTAAGAGCAGTTGCAGGCTACGGAAGGAGTGTTGTATGGCATTGAAGCTCGTTTGGAGGTTTGTTAACAGTGTCCAATGAAGGGCCAGATGTATACAAAATGGTGTCATCTGCTTAGAGGTGGATCTGAGAGTCACCAGCAGCAAGAGCGACATCATTGATATACACAGAGAATAGAGTCGGCCTGAAAATTGAACCCTGTGGCACCCCCATAGAGACTGCCAGAGGTCCAGACAACAGGCCCTCCGATTTGACCCATTGAACTCTATCTGAGAAGTAGTACCAGGCGAGGCAGTCATTTGAGAAACCATGGCTATTTAGTCTGCCAATAAGAATGCGGTGATTGACAGAGTCGAAAGCCTTGGCCAGGTCGATGAAGACGGCTGCACAGTACTGTCTTTTATTGATCGTGGTTATAATATTATTTAGGACATTGAGCGTGGCTGAGGTGCACCCATGACCAGCTCGGAAACCAGATTGCATAGCGGAGAAGGTACGGTGGGATTCGAAATGGTCGGTGATCTGTTTGTTAACTTGGCAGGGCAGGATGGATATAGGTCTGTAACAGTTTGGATCTAGAGTATCACCCCCTTTTGAAGAGGGGGATGACTGCGGCAGCTTTCCAATCTCTGGGGATCTCAGATGATACGAAAGAGAGGTTGAACAGGCTAGTAATAGGGGTTGCTACAATTTCGGCTGCTAATTTTAGAAAGAAAGGTTCCAGATTGTCTAGCCCAGCTGATTTGTAGGGGTCCAGATTTTGCAGCTCTTTCAGAACATCAGCTATCAGAATTTGGGTGAAGGAGAAGCGGGGGTGGGCATGGGAAAGTTGCAGCTGAGGGTGCAGAGCTGGTGGCCGGGGTAGGGGTAGCCAGGTGGAAAGCATGGCCAGCCATAGCAAAATGCTTATTGAAATTCTCGATTATCGTAGATTTATTGGTGGTGACAGTGTTTCCTAGCCTCAGTGCAGTGGACAGCTCGGAGGAGGTGCTCTTATTCTCCATTGATTTTAATGTCCCAAAACTTTTTGGAGTTAGTGCTACAAGATGCACATTTCTGTTTGAAAAAGCTAGCCTTTGCTTTCCTAACTATTTTTGTATATTGGTTCCTGACTTCCCTGAAAAGTTGCATATCGCGGGGGCTGTTCGATACTAATGCAGTACGCCACAGGATGTTTTTGTGCTGGTCAAGGGCAGTCAAGTCTGCGGTGAACCAGGGGCTATATCTGTTCTTAGTTCTGAATTTTTTGAATAGGGCATACTTATTTAAGATGGAGATGAAAGCACTTTTAAAGAACAACCAGGCATCCTCTACTGACGAAATGAGGTCAATATCCATCCAGGATACCCGGGCCAGGTCAATTAGAAAGGCCTGCTCGCTGAAGTGTTTTAGGGAGCGTTTGACAGTGATGAGGGGTGGTCGTTTGACCGCGGACCCATTACGGACGCAGGCAATGAGGCCGTGATCGCTGAGATCCTGGTTGAAGACAGCGGAGGTGTATTTAGAGGGTAAATTAGTCAGGATGATATCTATGAGGGTGCCCATGTTTACGGATTTAGGGTTGTACCTTGTAGGTTCCTTGATAATTTGTGTGAGATTGAGGGCATCTAGTTTAGATTGTAGGGTGGCCGGGGTGTTAAGCATATCCCAGTTTAGGTCACCAAGCAGTACGAACTCTGAGGATAGATGGGGGGCAATCAATTCACATATGGTGTCCAGGGCACAGCTGGGGGCTGAGGGGGGTCTGTAGCAAGCGGCAACAGTCTTATTAACAGACTTATTTCTGGAAAGGTGGATTTTTAGAAGTAGAAGCTCAAACTGTTTGGGCACAGACCTGGATAGTATGATAGAGCTCTGCAGTAGATTGCAACTCCGCCCCCTTTGCCAGTTCTATCTAGACGGAAAATGTTGTAGTTGGGGATGGAAGTTTCAGAGTTTTTGGTGGCCTTCCTAAGCCAGGATTCAGACACTGCTAGAACATCAGGGTTGGCGGAGTGTGCTAACGCAGTGAATAACTCAAACTTAGGGAGAAGGCTTCTGATGTTAATATGCAAGAAACCAAGGTTTTTACGGTTACAGAAGTCAACAAATGATAGGGCCTGGGGAGTAGGAGTGATACTGGGGGCTACAGGGCCTGGGTTAACCTCTACATCACCAGAGGAACAGAGGAGGAGTAGAATAAGGATACGGCTTAGGCTTTAAGAACTGGTCTTGTAGTGGGTTGGGTACAGAGAATAAAAGGGGCAGATTTCCGGGCATTGTAGAATAGATTCAGGGCACTATGTACAGACAAGTACAGTGGAGGTAAACCTAAGCGTTGGGTAACGATGAAAGAGATAGCATCACTGGAGGCACCGATTGAGCCAGTCTACGCATGTATGGGAGGTGGGACAAAGGAGCTATCTGAGGCAGGTTGAGCGTGACTTGGGGCTCTACAGTGAAATTGTATAATAACAACTAACCGAAACAGCAATAGGCAAGGCATATTGACATGGGAGAGAGTCATAAAGCAATCACAGGTGTTATTCATGAGAGCTAAACAGGATGGGGTACCGTGTAAAGGAACGGTCCAGCAGGTATCAGCTGTGTAGCTGAGTGATCATAAGGTCCAGTGAACAGCAATCAGTGAGTCCGGGAGCAGTTCGATGGCTGCTATGGCACAGGCGAGCAGGAGGCACAGCTGTTGATTGCATGTGCTAGCGGGCTGGGGCTAGCAAATGGATCTTCGTGGTCGTCGCAACGGGAAGCCTGTTGAAACCACATCAGACGATTACGTCGGCAGACCAGTCGTGATGGATCGGCGGGGCTCCGTGTCGACACTAGGAGGTCCCGTCCGGTTGACAGAGAGGTAGATAGCCGGGAGATGGGCCTGGCTCAAGGCTAGCTCAAGGCTAACAGGTGCTAGCTTTGGGACAGTGGTGATTAGCCAACAACAACATCCATTCGGTTGCAGCTAGCTAGTTGCGATGATCCGGTGTTAAGGTCCAGCGATTCCAGCTGAAAATCCGATTTGCTCTGGGTCGATAGCGCACTGTGCAGACTGGCCGATAATTGTCCAGGCTAGAGCTGGCTGGTAGGTAGTGCAGGCCACGGACAATGGTGAAAACCGCTAACGGTGGCTAATAGCAAGTAGCTAGTTAGCTGGCTAGTTTCAGCCGGAGATTCTAGATAAAAAGGTATAAGAAATAATAGAATCCGTTCCACATTGGGTGAGGCGGGTTGCAGGAAAGTATATTTAGTTGAAGGATGATAAGTGAGATTGAGAAATATATACGAAAAAAAACAAAAAAAAACAGGCTATTTACACGAGTAAATTACAGAATACATGACCGCACTGCTACGCCATCTTGAATTTTTTGACATATAATTAAGACATATTATTAAGACATTACACATTAAGACAGCTTCACCATTTCATCAAGCGACATCATTAACTTTATGCTGATCATAATCATGGTAGGCTAGGTGGGATTTCTATCATTTTGCTTATACTTATCAGTTCCTCTATACAAGTGGCTAGGGTGTAGAGGTTTCAGTGTGGATCAGACAAACAATTTCATCATCAATTAAAGAAATTGTAATTCATTGAAACATGAATAATCATCACTTCAAGTGAAGTATTTACCTTCTCGGTTAACTGTGTAGTTTCACATTCAAACTGATTCACTCATTATTCATGATTCATTCATGGTTATCCGTAATCATGGTAGCATCCCTATCAATGTAGAAGTGTTCAGAAACATATTATATTCTTATTTACAATAAAAGTTAGTCCAAAATGACCATTAATTATTTACCATTAATTTCTATTGGACCCAACATAATCCAAAACAAATTGCAAATGCATCCAACAAGTTTGTAGAGTCACAAGCTTGATGTAGTCCACGCGTGCTAGGAATATAGGACAAAATATTACTAATGTAATACTCTATAAGTGAATTTGTCCAAATACTTATGACACCTTCAAATGGGGGGACTAGATAAAAAAGTGCTTTCATTTCTAAACGGTATAACATATGTATGAAAATACCCTGCAATAAAAGGTGACATTCTGTACTGTCGCCTCATATAAAACATTTGATCTCAAATCCAAAATGCGGGAGTTTAGAACCAAATGAATAGTTTTAGCTTCACTGTCCAAATAAATACGTAGGGAAGTGTAGCTATGTTTACATGCACATGGAAGAAAGTAGACACTGGTCAGCAGTAGGCTCTATGTAGCGCAAGAGACCAACTCTCCAAAACATAGAGACCTTACGTTGGGGGTACAGAGAGAGCGAGAGAAAGGGTGTGTGTGTAACGGAGTCTTGATCCCTCAACCTTACTATGAACGGAGACAAAAAAAGAAACTAAAGGTGCAATGACCAAAAGGTGGCAAGATTCAGACCTTCGGTATTCAGTTCCAAACCCCATTTTCCACTTAACGTCCTCCAGTGATTTTTTTACTTTGTTGAAAAGCGATATCCCAAGTATAAATACAGTAAAGTACACACACTAAAAGGTTAAAAACAACAACATTTTGAGATGTGTTTTTTTTAGACAACCGCAAACTTTGAGGAGTAGGGAATCCGTGATGTCATCGGCCTCCCCCTTTGCTTGAGGAGCAATAGAGAACAAAAGAAGAAAGGCCCACCACCCCCAATTGTACTATGTCATGACATACCTGGACCACCTATTGAGATGTGCCTTTTGTTAAGTAATATGTGTATATATACAGTGGGGAAAAAAAGTATTTAGTCAGCCACCAATTGTGCAAGTTCTCCCACTTAAAAAGATGAGAGAGGCCTGTAATTTTAATCATAGGTACACGTCAACTATGACAGACAAATTGAGAAAAAAAAAATCCAGAAAATCACATTGTAGGATTTTTTATGATTTTATTTGCAAATTATGGTGGAAAATAAGTATTTGGTCACCTACAAACAAGCAAGATTTCTGGCTCTCACAGACCTGTAACTTCTTCTTTTAGAGGCTCCTCTGTCCTCCACTCGTTACCTGTATTAATGGCACCTGTTTGAACTTATCAGTATAAAAGACACCTGTCCACAACCTCAAACAGTCACACTCCAAACTCCACTATGGCCAAGACCAAAGAGCTGTCAAAGGACACCAGAAAGAAAATTGTAGACCTGCACCAGGCTGGGAAGACTGAATCTGCAATAGGTAAGCAGCTTGGTTTGAAGAAATCAACTGTGGGAGCAATTATTAGAAAATGGAAGACATACCAGACCACTGATAATCTCCCTCGATCTGGGGCTCCACGCAAGATCTCACCCCGTGGGGTCAAAATGATCACAAGAACGGTGAGCAAAAATCCCAGAACCACACGGGGGGACCTAGTGAATGACCTGCAGAGAGCTGGGACCAAAGTAACAAAGCCTACCATCAGTAACACACTACGCCGCCAGGGACTCAAATCCTGCAGTGCCAGACGTGTCCCCCTGCTTAAGCCAGTACATGTCCAGGCCCGTCTGAAGTTTGCTAGAGTTCATTTGGATGATCCAGAAGAGGATTGGGAGAATGTCATATGGTCAGATGAAACCAAAATATAACTTTTTGGTAAAAACTCAACTCGTCGTGTTTGGAGGACAAAGAATGCTGAGTTGCATCCAAAGAACACCATACCTACTTTGAAGCATGGGGGTGGAAACATCATGCTTTGGGGGCTGTTTTTCTGCAAAGGGACCAGGACGACTGATCCGTGTAAAGGAAAGAATGGGGCCATGTATCGTGAGATTTTGAGTGAAAACCTCCTTCCATCAGCAAGGGCATTGAAGATGAAACGTGGCTGGGTCTTTCAGCATGACAATGATCCCAAACACTCCGCCCGGGCAACGAAGGAGTGGCTTCGTAAGAAGCATTTCAAGGTCCTGGAGTGGCCTAGCCAGTCTCCAGATCTCAACCCCATAGAAAATCTTTGGAGGAAGATGAAAGTCCGTGTTGCCAAGCGACAGCCCCAAAACATCACTGCTTGACCAAATACTTATTTTCCACCATCATTTGCAAATAAATGCATTAAAAATCCTACAATGTGATTTTCTGGATTTTTTTTTCTCATTTTGTCTGTCATAGTTGACGTGTACCTATGATGAAAATTACAGGCCTCTCTCATCTTTTTAAGTGGTAGAACTTGCTTGCACAATTGGTGGCTGACTAAATACTTTTTTCCCCCACTGTGTATATATATATATATATATATATATGTATACACATACATACACTTACATATCCTTTTAAAAATATATACAGTGGGGAAAAATAGTATTTAGTCAGCCACCAATTGTGCAAGTTCTCCCACTTAAAAAGATGAGAGAGGCCTGTAATTTTCATCATAGGTACACGTCAACTATGACAGACAAAATTAGAAAAAAAAATCCAGAAAATCACATTGTAGGATTTTTAATGAATTTATTTGCAAATTATGGTGGAAAATAAGTATTTGGTCAATAACAAAAGTTTCTCAATACTTTGTTATATACCCTTTGTTGGCAATGACACAGGTCAAACGTTTTCTGTAAGTCTTCACAAGGTTTTCACACACTGTTGCTGGTATTTTGGCCCATTCCTCCATGCAGATCTCCTCTAGAGCCGTGATGTTTTGGGGCTGTCGCTGGGCAACACAGACTTTCAACTCCCTCCAAAGATTTTCTATGGGGTTGAGATCTGGAGACTGGCTAGGCCACTCCATGACCTTGAAATGCTTCTTACGAAGCCACTCCTTCGTTGCCCGGGCCGTGTGTTTGGGATCATTGTCATGCTGAAAGACCCAGCCACGTTTCATCTTCAATGCCCTTGCTAAAGGAAGGAGGTTTTCACACAAAATCTCACGATACATGGCCCCATTCATTCTTTCCTTTACACGGATCAGTCGTCCTGGTCCCTTTGCAGAAAAACAGCCCCAAAGCATGATGTTTCCACCCCCATGCTTCACAGTAGTTATGGTGTTCTTTGGATGCAACTCAGCATTCTTTGTCCTCCAAACACGACGAGTTGAGTTTTTACCAAAAAGTTCTATTTTGGTTTCATCTGACCATATGACATTCTCCCAATCCTCTTCTGGATCATCCAAATGCACTCTAGCAAACTTCAGACGGGCCTGGCTTAAGCAGGGGGACACGTCTTGCACTGCAGGAATTGAGTCCCTGGCGGCGTAGTGTGTTACTGATGGTAGGCTTTGTTACTTTGGTCCCAGCTCTCTGCAGGTCATTCACTAGGTCCCCCCGTGTGGTTCTGGGATTTTTGCTCACCGTTCTTGTGATCATTTTGACCCCACGGGGTGAGATCTTGCGTGGAGCCCCAGATCGAGGGAGATTATCAGTGGTCTTGTATGTCTTCCATTTCCTAATAATTGCTCCCACAGTTGATTTCTTCAAACCAAGCTGCTTACCTATTGCAGATTCAGTCTTCCCAGCCTGGTGCAGGTCTACAATTTTCTTTCTGGTGTCCTTTGACAGCTCTTTGGTCTTGGCCATAGTGGAGTTTGGAGTGTGAGTGTTTGAGGTTGTGGACAGGTGTCTTTTATACTGATAACAAGTTCAAACAGGTGCCATTAATACAGGTAACGAGTGGAGGACAGAGGAGCCTCTTAAAGAAGAAGTTACAGGTCTGTGAGAGCCAGAAATCTTGCTTGTTTGTAGGTGACCAAATACTTATTTTCCACCATAATTTGCAAATAAATTCATTAAAAATCCTACAATGTGATTTTCTGGATTTTTTTTTCTCAATTTGTCTGTCATAGTTGACGTGTACCTATGATGAAAATTACAGGCCTCTCTCATCTTTTTAAGTGGGAGAACTTGCACAATTGGTGGCTGACTAAATACTTTTTTTCCCCACTGTATTTCCCTTTATTACTTTCCAACCCCACCACCCCTTCCCTAATTGGAGTAAACTAGTGAACAACAACGCTTAGGCCTCTATTTCCAGTTTATACATACAGTACTATATACATTTTATGGACATAGTCAATTTTACAATAAATATATTTTGTTTATTTTCACTCCTGAACTTCCTCAACCTCTCCGATCATTTTCATGATGTCCATCTGGTTTGCATCACCCAGTAGTGCTATCTGCTGGGTTAGCTCCAGGTAAATATTGCAATCCTTCAGCCATTCCTGGACCTGTGACCAAAAACAAGCTACAAATGGACAGTACCAAAGCAAATGACCAAATGATTCTGTCTCTTCGCAGCAAAATCTGCAGAGCTAGGAAGATTGTATCCCCCATATAAATAACATTCTATTGGTAGCAAGAATTTTGTATAATAATTTAAATTGGAAGAATTCTAAGTTTTAAATCCGGCATCGTTTTGCGTATCAGTTCATAAACACTATGCCATGGAATCGGTACGTCAAAAATATCTTTCCAACTATTTTGCAATATATATGGGACGGCTGTCAATCCTTTGGTCCTTAAATGAAACTGGTATTCTTTTTTTATTTATCACAATTTTCTTTAACCAATTATGTTCTTTAATGCAGGGCCGACAGACAAGTTCCTTACTTTTTCCCCCTTCCACTTTCCTCTTCCATTTTTGCGGGATGCTGCAATTATTTGGTTGTAATTTTGGGTAGAGCAGACATTTCCATATGTTTTTAGCTGCATGTGCGACATAACTCCACCAGTCCTACCTATGATATAATTTACGAAGATTTTACTTTTTTTTTTTTTTTTATCAATTAGTATATTCGAGTTTAACAACAATATTTGTTGCATTATTTGTTCTGTAGTTTCTGGAGGATTCAATTGAAATTGCAACCAAATTTCTATGACTTGTTTTAGAAATAGTGATATTTGGGAGATGATTTCCTTTTCAAATAACTGAAAGTGTGAGGTTGTATTTTGAATAAAGGGAAAAAGGCCATTCAAATCAAATCGAATCAAATTTTATTGGCCACATGCGCCGAATACAACAGGTGCAGACATTACACTGAAATGCTTACTTACAGCCCTTAACCAACAGTGCATTTATTTTTAATAAAAAAAGTAGAATAAAACAAAAAAGTGTTGAGAAAAAAAGAGCAGAATAAAATAAAATAACAGTAGGGAGGCTATATATACAGGGGGGCACCGGTGCAGAGTCAATGTGCGGGGGCACCGGCTAGTTGAGGTAGTTGAAGTAATATGTACATGTGGGTAGAGTTAAAGTGACTATGCATAAATAATTAACAGAGTAGCAGCAGCGTAAAAAGATGGGGTGGGGGGGCAGTGCAAATAGTCCAGGTAGCCATGATTAGCTGTTCAGGAGTCTTATGGCTTGGGGGTAGAAGCTGTTGAGAAGTATTTTGGACCTAGACTTGGCACTCCGGTACCGCTTGCCATGCGGTAGCAGAGAGAACAGTCTATGACTAGGGTGGCTGGAGTCTTTGACAATTTTGAGGGCCTTCCTCTGACACTGCCTGGTATAGAGGTCCTGGATGGCCGGAAGCTTGGCCCCAGTGATGTACTGGGCCGTACGCACTACCCTCTGTAGTGCCTTGCGGTCGGAGGCCAAGCAGTTGCCATACCAGGCGGTGATGAAACCAGTCAGGATGCTCTCGATGGTGCAGCTGTAGAATTCTTTGAAGATCGAGGACCCATGCCAAATCTTTTCAGTCTCCTGAGGGGGGATAGGCTTTGTCGTGCCCTCTTCACGAACATCTTACTAATTTGCTAGAGAAGCAGTTCGGATTTAAGTATAACTTTTGTGCCACTTTAACTTAATTCATATGGCTTGAAAAAGAGTTTCCCTTTTTTGCATAACATTCTGAATACTGAAAACTATTTCCAGGGAGAAAATCTGCTAAAAGGGGGAATTGCAGAGAGAGAGAGAGACACACACACTCTCACACTCTCTCTTACTTTAAAACAGCTCTCTTCCCCCAGTCCCTGATCTCAGTGAGGGAATCATGTGATCAGACAGGGTAGTCACCTCTGGGTCCCTGTTTCCTTAGCAACCAGTAAAAACACTGTTTCCAGTACGAGCCATGAAACAACATCAACAGCATCTCTGCCTGGACTGAAATGCTGGCTTGCATGTGCTTTCATCAAAACAACAAAATGAGCATATTCAGTGTTCATAGCATCCCCTACTCCCAGCCTAAACCATTATGGGGTTAAGAGCTAAAGGGAGTGACCTTAGATTGGTTTCAGAGGGCAACTTCCAATAAAACACAGACTGAGTGAATTTGCCAGACTAGCGTATCAGTCAGGAATAATCTATGAGAGACTGATCAAATAAAATTTCAGTAAAAACACGTATATACATTCAGTTAAAGATCTTGCTTTGTAGATTTACAAATAAATTCAAATATTTCTCGCTCCTCTCACTTGATTCACATTCAAATATGATGTTATGACCCCTGCAGGCCGAGTCATGTCATTACAGACCACAGTGATTTAACCCCTACATGTCTCTGCAGGGTAATACAGAAGTTCAGCTCTACAGCAGTTGTGTTGCATACTGCGCTGAAAGAATCTTCTGAAAATCTTTGGGAGCATCTGGAATCTCTGGAATGCAGCAATGGAATGGAAAACAAACAAAAACATCCCCTCAGCTGAAAAATACACATAAAAGTACCACCAACCTACAAGCAAACATTCAGGAACAGCCTTTCAATCCATACACTTTCAAAAGCAGTATGGCATCCTAAAGGGTAAATCAATGAGACCCTAATCTCCAAATAGGGTTGTATTTTTGACTAGGTTACAATACATTCAGAAAGTATTCACACCCCTTCCCCTTTTCCACATTTTGTTACATTACAGCTTTATTCTAAAATGGATTAAATAAATAAAAATCCCCATCAATCTACAGTCGTGGTCAAAAGTTTTGAGAATTACACAAGTATTGGTCTTCACAAAGTTTGCTGCTTCAGTGTTTTTAGATATTTTTGTCAGATGTTACTATGGTATACTGAAGTATAATTACAAGCATTCCATAAGTGTCAAAGGCTTTTATTGACAATTACATTAAGTTTATGCAAAGAGTCAATATTTGCAGTGTTGACCCTTCTTTTTCAAGACCTCTGCAATCCGCCCTGGCATGCTGTCAATTAACTTCTGGGCCACATCCTGACTGATGGCAGCCCATTCTTGCATAATCAATGCTTGGAGTTTGTCAGAATTTGTGGGTTTTTGTTTGTCCACCCGCCTCTTGAGGATTGACCACAAGTTCTCAATGGGATTAAGGTCTGGGGACTTTCCTGGCCATGGACCCAAAATGTTGATGTTTTGTTCCCCGAGCCACTTAGTTATCACTTTTACCTTATGGCAAGGTGCTCCATCATGTTGGAAAAGGCATTGTTCGTCACCAAACTGTTCTTGGATGGTTGGGAGAACTTGCTCTCGGAGGATGTGTTGGTACCATTCTTTATTCATGGCTGTGTTCTTAGGCAAAATTGTGAGTGAGCCCACTCCCTTGGCTGAGAAGCAACCCCACACATGAATGGTCTCAGGATGCTTTACTGTTGGCATGACACAGGACTGATGGTAGCGCTCACCTTGTCTTCTCCGGACAAGCTTTTTTCCAAATGCCCCAATCAGAAAGGGGATTCATCAGAGAAAATGACTTTACCCCAGTCCTCAGCAGTCCAATGCCTGTACCTTTTGCAGAATATCCGTCTGTCCCCGATGTTTTTCCTAGAGAGAAGTGGCTTCCTCGCTGCCCTTCTTGACACCAAGTCATCATCCAAAAGTCTTCGCCTCACTGTGCGTGCAGATGCACTCACACCTGCCTGCTGCCATTCCTGAGCAAGCTCTGCACTGGTGGTGCCCCGATTCCGCAGCTGAATCAACTTTAGGAGACGGTCCTCGTCAACACTCTCACCTGTGTTAACGAGAGAATCACTGACATGATGTCAGCTGGTCCTTTTGTGGCAGGGCTGAAATGCAGTGAAAAAGTTTTTTGGGGATTAAGTTATTTTTCATGGCAAAGAGGGACTTTGCAATTAATTGCAATTCATCTGATCACTCTTCATAACATTCTGGAGTTTATGCAAATTGCCATCATAGAAATTGAGGCAGCAGACTTTGTGGAAACTAATATTTGTGTCATTCTCAAAACCTTTGACCACGACTGTACACACAATACCCCATAATGACAAAGCAAAAAACGTTTTTTAGAAAAACAGAAATACCTTATTTACATAAGTATTCAGACCTTTTACTATGAGACTTGAAATTGAGCTCAGGTGCATCCTGTTTCCATTGATGATCCTTGAGATGTCTCTACAACTTGATTGGAGTCCACCTGTGGTAAATTAAATTGAGTGGACATGATTTGGAAAGGCACACACCTGTCTATATAAGGTCCCACAGTTGACAGTGCATGTCAGAGCAAAAACCAAGCCATGAGGTCAAAGGAATTGTCTCTAGCGCTCCGAGACAGGATTGTGTCGAGGAACAGATCTGGGGAAGGGTACCCAAAAAATGTCTGCAGCATTGAAGGTCCCCAAGAACACTGTGGCCTCCATCATTCTTAAATGAAAGAAGTTTGGAACCACCAAGACTCTTCCTAGAGCTGGCTGCCCGGCCAAACTGAGCAATCAGGGGAGAAGGACCTTGGTCAGGGAGGTGACCAAGAACCTAATGGTCACTCTGACAGAGCTCCAGTGGGACATCCATCTCTGCAGCAGTCCACCAATCAGGCCTTTATGGTAGAGTGGCCAGACAGAAGCCACTCTAAGGCACATGACAGCCCACTTGGAGTTTTCCAAAAGGCACCTAACGGACTCTCAGACCATGAGAAACAAGATTGTCTGGTCTGATGAAACCAAGATTGAACTCTTTGGCCTGAATGCCAAGTGTCACGTCTGGAGGAAACCTGGCACCATCCCTACGGTGAAGCATGGTGGTGGCAGCATCATGCTGTGGGAATGGTTTTCAGTGGCAGGGACTGGGAGACTAGTTAGGATTGAGGGAATATGAACGGAGCAAAGTACAGAGAGATCCTTGATGAAAATCTGCTTCAGGGTGCCAGGATAACAACCTCTCCCTGAATGTGATCAAGACAAAGGTGCTGATCATGGACTACAGGAAAAGAAGGGCCGAGCACGCCCACATTCACATCGACGGGACTGTAGTGGAGCAGGTCAAGAACTTTAAGTTTCTTGGTGTCCACATCGCCAACAAACTGTCATGGTCCAAACACACCAAGACAGATGTGAAGAGGGCATGACAATGCCTATTCCTCCTCAGGAGACTGTAACGATTTGGCATGTGTCCTCAGATCCTCAAAACGTTCTACAGCTGCACCATCGAGAGCATCCTGACTGGTTGCATCACCGCCTGGTCTTACCTCAATTACCTCAACTAACCTTTACCCCCGCACATTGACTAGGTACCGGTACCCCTGTGTATATCCTCATTATTGTTATTTTATTGTGTAACTTTTTTTAAACTTTAATTTATTTAGTAAACAATTTCTTAACTTGTATTTTTCTGCAACAACTGCATTGTTGATTAAGGGCTTGTAAGTAAGCATTTCACGGTAAGGTCTACTACACCTGTTGTATTCGGCGCATGTGACAAATAAAATGTTTGATTTGACTCACTCCTGCAGGTTCATGCTCTACAACATCCAGAGAGTACGACCTTACCTCACACAGGAAGCAGCGCAGGTCCTAATCCAGGCTTTCTTAATCTCCTGTCTGGACTACAGCAACTCGCTTTTGGCTGGGCTCCCTGCTTGTGAAATCAAACCCCTGCAACTTATCCAGAACGCTGCAGCCCACCTGGTTTTATACCTTCCATGTCACCCCGCTCCTCCGCACACCCCTCTGGCTTCCAGTCAAATCTCGCATCCACTGCAAGACCATGGTGCTTGCCTACAGAGCAGCAAGAGGAACTGCCCCTCCCTAATTTCAGGCTATGCTCAAACCCTACACCCCAACCTGAGCACTACGTTCTGCCACCTATGGTCTCTTGGCCCTCCCACCCCTACGGGAGGGCAGCTCCTGGTCAGCCCAGTCCAAATTCTTCTCTCTTCTGGCACCCCAATGGTGGAACCTGCTTCCCCCTGAAGGTAGGACAGCAGAGTCCCTGCCCATCTTCCAAAAGCACCTGAAATCCAACTTCTTCAAAGAGTATCTTAAATAATATCACCAAACTTTCCTGAACCAACACTTGCACTTGACCCCCACTCCCCTTTCTTGCCCTGACGTTGCTGATATCTACTTTGTTGAGGAAAAGTGTACTTACTATGCCTGTGATGTGGGTGGTTGTCTCACCTAGCTATCTTAAGATGAATGCACTAACTGTAAGTCGCTCTGGATAAGAGCGTTTGCTAAATAACTCAAATGTAAATATAAATGCAGGAAATAAGCTTTAAACCTGAAAAATGTTATCTTCGCCAACAAGAGGGGTGTGAACAGTTTGTGCCCATAGAAATAGATGTGGGGCCCAGCATGTTCCCCAATGCCGGAAGTGTGGTCTGAGTGAAAAAGCTTGGGAACCCCTGAGTTAGAGAATACTGCCTTCGATACCAATACCAGCTTAGTATAATGATACTCAATACCACGATCCAGCACTGCTCAAACACTCCCGAGTCAGCTTAACAAGGTCCTGTTGAGCAGTTGATTTGTAGAATCTGGTGTGTTAGAGTAGGGCTTGAACAAAAGTCTACGCACCCAGTAGCTCTCTTGGAGGTATTATGCTATAACATTAGAACATTAGCCTACAACCAAAAAGGCTAATAAAATAATTCCGTCATTCAGAGAATTAGGTATCAAATGGCTATACCTCGAAGCAAGGTAGCTAAGCGGGAGGGCTCTAGACTGACTTTTTCCAGTGCCAAGTCAAATCAAATCAAATCAAATTTTATTGGCCACATGCGCCAAATACAACAGGTGCAGACATTACAGTGAAATGCTTACTTACAGCCCTTAAACAACAATGCATTTATTTTTAACAAAAA